AGATCGATCCCAACGCAGGAACCGCGCCTCACGCTTGCAGATGACAATCATGAATAAGAACAGCCGGTGCTGGCGTTGCATGATCCTCGTAGCATAGTCGGCGATCTGCCCTCGTGCCTTTATCTTCTTCTCCGTCTCCTCCGTGCGGCTGTTCCCAAAATGAAACGGTGCCCTGGAAATGTCTGACTTGAGCTCAATAGGAACGACCATTGACCCCCAGCGAGTTCGAGCCAATTTCTGCTTGCGCTCTTCCGAGTACTTGCGCCCCGCAAGCTCTTGAGCAGTGAGAGTGTATGGCGCGGCATGGTCGTCATCAGTGCTGTAAATACAGACGTCGGGTCTCATCGTCGCGCTTACCGCCCGGTCGATGGCATCTGTGTTGTCAGGCCAGTCTGCAGTATCTTTCGCGACAAGAGTGTTGTCAGCGTTGCACTGGAATACAGATTGAACGCCCTTGATCTGAAACAGACGAAGCAGAACCCCGCGTCAGTAACCAGCTCAACCCGGACACAACGATGGATTGACTCACCAGTTCCGAAGCCATAACAAATTCTAGTTTGTCGAGCATTTCGCCGTCGAATTTATGGAACATACTTTTGGTTTGCTCATCAGGGTCACCACCGGGGACATGTTCGTCAAGAAATGTTTTGACCGCCATCTTCGCCCAGTATTCGGCCATTTCGTCACCCAGTTCAATGCGATGCGGATCAAGACCTGCACCTTTGGAAGGCTCAGCAGAAAGAGACCGGCGTGTAGAGATCTTGGGATCGAGTGGCGTTGTCTGCAACTCAGCTAACGTTGGACGAGAGTTTTCTGGGGTCTGGGGTCGTGGATTCTGCCCAGAGGCAGCCTTGCGGTGGAGAGTATTTTCAGATGAAGCTCGGGAAGGCATCGTGAAGCGGTAGACTTACAGGTATCGAGGAGCACGGGGATTATATACTTGTGCGAAAGCCACAAAACCTGCGTGCCTCTCGTTGTCAATTCATTCAGCGTGTGGCTCATCAGTTCCACGTACCACGTTTGTTCCCGCAAGTGGCTATGCAAGGTGTGACCGTTAGAGCGGTTGGCCAACCTCTTTGTGCGACGATCGTCAACTGCCAGATGTGGGAATGTCATCAACGACTGCAGCGAGCGGTTGCAGTGATTCACACGTACAGCTGGTCCAATTACGTCTTCCTGTTGGAGGAACCGTCGGCACGCGAGCCTAACGAGGACAAGGCGTGTGTTGCAGGTCAGGAAAGAGCAGACGCCACAGGACCGGACGCGTCGCGACACGTGACCGTTCTGTGCAAATTCAGACCGGGCCGAGTGGCTCGGACCTCTCGATCACTTCATTTGCCACAGCGCGCCGTGCGCGACAGCCGCACAAAGTCATGGCCAGCATCTTTTTGAATGTACTGACCAGGGGTATTGTTCCATGGGCTCCATATCGTCGACTCGAGCTAAGTGCTCCTCGTGTCACAGAAGAAATACTTAGCTCGAGGTCATGCTGCAAGCAAACGGATTCAATGACCTCCTTTCCAATCTATGGAGATCACGTCGTCAGGATGTTCTGCATCCAGGTGTAACAAAACTGGTCGCCAATAGTGAATTTAGATAGGTTCGTGCGTTCACAAGCTCAATTTGTCGCACGGACAATCCTTTCATACCACTACTTTCCATGGTTCTCAGGAGGTGGTGTCGCACATATGCAGCACGTACCAATCCAGCGTTCTGCACGTGCAGTTCGGGCGTGCTCGCTGTCCTTGCATCTCTTATGTTCATTGATACTCGAGAAACTCTCATTTCAGGCGAATTCGAGTTATAGGCCCAAGCTGTCACCATTATAACGATGGTGTCAAGTGACCTGGATATCTTAAATGATCAATCCTGGGCATGTATCGCACAGAGCGTATCTTCATATGTGATCTTTGTGCTGGGCTTACACGACAACTCAAATGATGATTGCTATCTGTCAGGCTTGAGACGGCGCAGTCGCTGAGGTCACTGCCATATCTTCATACAGGAATTATGACAACGGTAGGCAGGTATAGAGCAACGACATTGCTCACTCCGATTTACAGTCTCTCTACCCAGCGGCAGCATCGCTTGGTTTGTCATTCTCCTCCCGCGCACCTACACATCAAGATCCTCTGAACACTCGTCTCACTGCAACATGTACTTTTTGCTCTCATGTTTCAAGTTACCCCAACGACGTCACCATGTGCCGAAGGTTAGTCAATAAGGGCCTGCTGATTGAAGAGGAGGATGAACGTCGTAGGTTGCGCTCGTCTCAAAATGGCAAGAGATCGAGAGGTTTGACACAAAGTCGAACATGGCGAGGACGCGATCGACGTCGCTCACATAAGCGTGTCGCCGTGTTATAAGAGACGGCAAGTTCAACATTCCCCTCCTTCACTCGAACGTACTCCATCTCGCCTCCCATCAGAATGCATATCCCGATCCAGCTTATCTTTACTGCGCTCCTGGCCCTCGTCGCGACCCTCAAGGCTCCCAGCCCTCTCGACGGACCAGGAGTCGTCGCGCTCATTGACGGGGTTGTCACCAGCCTCGTTGATGTTCACGAACACGCCGACCATTTTGTGTAAGTCGACCCTCCGCTCTTCATACTCCTTCCTCCGTCCCTCACCCGGGCCGTGCTACAGCCGAAGGATGGTCGGCACCACCACGCCGGGCCGCTTCCAGCTGCTCGATGCCGCTCCCCAGACATCTCTGGCAGAATGCGCCAGGCCCTTGATTGTTGAGGATGACGTCGTCTTCACCAACATGTCGATCATTGTCGACGACGGAGTCTGCCCTGCCGTGTGGAACACCGTCGTCACCTTCGACATCGTCGTCCCTGCCGCCTCGGTGTCGTCGGGCGCTGTGGTTGAGGTCGTCAAAGCACTGTCAGTCCGTGGGCCGACATCCATCTCCGCGCTGACGTGCTCTCCGATGGATGCCCCCGTGACGCATGCCTACATGGAGTCCATGTACATCACCAGTCTTGCATGGTTCACAGCCCTGGTCACTGTCTATGTCGTTGCGGTTACTCTTCTCGTGAAGCATCGGGTTACATCAATGCACCGGACGCGCTTGAATGTCGAAGCAGGGCCTAGTGCCCCTCCATTCAAGCCTGCTAGTCCTGGCTCACCCGAGGTAATCTTGTAGACTTCTGTGTGGACCAGCACGTTGACGTCCTGTGTCAGACCTCACCACCGTATTCGACAAGCCTGCAGCCATTGGTGATGATGGATTTCCTGTCCTATGTACACGACAATATTTGCCATACACTCGATCACGTCCTCTCGCCCGTTCCAGCCTCGTATGACGACGATCAAGTGGGATGTTCTGTCACCTTCGAAGAGATCGTGGCCGAGGTGTCACATATTGCGTCGGTCACAGATGTAAGCCTGCCATTGTTCTGTCTGCAGATGCTGTATGCTGAGGCTGCTTCACAGCGCGCTGATGCGTGTGGAGAGGGTCTGCGACCCTCATCCCGTCAGTGCCTGTCGGTCTCACCGAAGACGGACACGACATACCCACCGATTGATCAAGGCGAGGCAGTGTCAACGATGATCAGTACCTTCATCGCGACATTGCCATCGCCTTTCCTCGCCGGATCGTCTGCACCAGTACCAACCATAGTGGTGCTCGATGCTCCTCTCGCTTCAGTCGTACGCTCGCCCGAGACGGAGCCGAAGAACGAAGCCAAGCCCGAGACACTGGACACATCATCGGTCATGACAGTACGTGTGCCTGCTATCGTGTCACATCTGGTGTCTGATTCCTCATAGCACGATAACATATGGGGCGACAAGGGTCTGCGACTCTGGCTCCCTCCCGCGCACACCCTCGAGACACTTCCATCTACCCCGCCCGCCATCACCAGTTCGGACGTTGGAGCCTCCGCCCACGCAGATGAGGTGCCTGCCTCCCCAATGATCTCCACGCCTGTCATCTCTGGTGTTGGTGCATCAGCCAACGTCGACAATCTGGTGGTCCTGCCCACACCCGAGGATGCAGCGAGGCAGCTCGCCTGGTTCGCGCTGTGCTTCTTGCTCGCTCGAATGCAACTCATGCGCTTGTGTCTTCTCGCTACTCACGGCTCCGCATCGCACTTGAAGCACAGCACTGATGGGACGCAGTTCATGCTCTTCTTTGTGGGTGGCCAGCTGTACGCCGGATTCATTCCAGATCATGCTCGCTGGCCAGATGGCTCTGTGATGTTCCCGCACGCGAACGACGACGACGTCTCGAGAGAAGCTGCACGGGATAATCTCTTCGAGACGATTGGCCATGGAACAGCGCGTCGGATAGCAGTGAGTAAACTCCGTATGGATGATGGTCGAGTGCTTATAACCCTCCATAGGAACCACCTCCCAACGATCAACACCCAGAAGAACCACCTGCGAACGATGAACATCAATATGAACCGAGGAGACGCCGTCGCCGTCGCCGTCGACACGGTTCGGTGGATGACGCGGACCTGCCTGGAGCAGTGTCGGTGCAATTCGACGACGAGATCACCTCTCGCCCTCCCAATGCTCTCACCAGCCATCAAGAACCATCTCAAACTTCTTCTCCGCTTCCTTCCTCTGCCTCTGCCTCTGCCTCTGCCTCATCTCCTTCGACCTCAAGACAGCGACCTGTGATCGCTCTTCGAGGTCTCTCTGCCATTCGTGACATTCTCAATCCCGCGGTCCGCCCCAGGCCAGGACAAGTGAAGAACAAGGTAGGTCATATCCTATGTGTTTCGATGAACGTCTACTGATTGCCCTTGATCCTCAGAGCCCCTCTATTTGCACACCTACTCCTCCTCCCCCTCCTCGTCCGACCGGCATCACGAACATCATTGTCCACAACGCAAGCCCTAACATCGGCGACCTACCGCTTATCCCCTCTACATCCTCGTCCCTGCCTATTACCCTCTCACCTCGACGTCCACGTCAAGTCGCAATGTCTGTAGATCATTTGCTTGGCAACATTCCCGTCCGCTTCGTGTCTGGCAAGCGGGGCAAGAAACGCCTCATCTCAGCTCCCTTCGGTTTCGACAACGCGCTAGACGTGTTGTCCACCGGACAGGACATCTTCCCTCCTCCAATCGCTGAGCGTCTTCCCTCAGAACCTTCCTCCGTCTCTACTCCACCTCTTGACGCCGCTCTGGTTCCTCTGCCTCCCTCTCCGCCTCTGTCATGAATTTCCCCGTGTCCAAGTCTCACTCCCCATTCCCACCGACGCCCAGGTCCAATGCAAGGTCCCGTAAGCGCATCCCGCGGGCCAAGTCAGACAGTCAATCATCTAGACCTATGTATACCATTCTGCAAGTGATTCACCGCCGATAATGCGCAGCGCCGTTCGTATGATACATAATTACTGTCTGCAGTTCTTGGCATTTGTCCATGTTTAGCATCCAGCTATCTTCCACCTCGACCATGTATCGATTAATCACCTCCTACACATACATACCAGAACCTACTCACTCACGACAATCCATCCTACCCTCTCATTACAATCTATCCACAACCTATTCACACGGCGGTCACTGTGATCCTCATCTTGCTTAAAATACCATCTGAGGAGCCGAATATTCCCCACAATGCAGGCGTCGACAGTCGTCGACAGGCCCATGCGGAAGCACGCTGCCTATATCCCTTCTTTCACTGTAATCCTGGCATATCTCATTCGTTTGCTACAAGCTCTCCCTTCTACTCCTTAGCTCCGAGTCGTACGAACATCATGCCACCATGCCCTAGAGTCTTACATGTACTGTCCGTTTTGACTAATGTAGTATCTTACTTGTGTCTTTTTGAATATACCACTTCGCTCAGTGTATCCGCGCCCGCATTTTTGTCGTCAACAGCTATATCTTGCCAGGGAAGGATCTTTCGAGCCAAGCGAGCAGCAGACCTCGAATGAATTAACTAGACGCGCATCTCGATCGATCACCTGTTGATCACCCCGCAGACTTTGCTCGGCCAGCCAATGAGCAATAGCGCTCACACTGCACACTGTTCATTCTGCGGTACCGGTGCTCACGCTTCACAGACTGTGCTGTACCATTGGGTCATATACATCGCCGTCGGCTGAGCATATCATGGCAAGCTGCTCAAGGACAGAATAGCTCTTGGGTCAAGCACACAGTCGCTGCAAGGCGATGGGGACATACAAGGATGCATCATCCATCTCGATGTGTGTTTGAACAGCCACGAAACGAAAATACACAGCAGGATATCCAACACTACTGACAATCGTAGCCCGATGTTTGCGTCTTGTATTGTCTATGCTTGTGTCGACGTGGTCCGTGTCTTGTATTCAAAGATGTCGTCCACGTCGGTGCCTTCCATTCGAGTCTGACCGCGGATGCATGTTGCATATTATGCAACCCGCTATATTTCTTGGTGCTCGAAGGATGCGTCCTGAATAGTCCCGTTTCAGCACAGCGAAGGTTCGTGGGAGGTGGATAGCGGGCGTTTCCACAGGCCAGGGACAATTGAGGAACAGCGAAAGTACTGGCATGAGGCTGTATGTGGTTTGGTTGAGTGGTGACTAGGAGGGAGTATTGTCCATTCGCGATGCAAGTGTCGATGCGCAGCGTCGAGACTTGACGATCTGTTCAGGACCGCGATACTGACTGTCGTTGTCGTGTTCATCGTCGCGCGCCTCAGATACCCTGTGCGTGCAAGTCCCTTGATTACGCTGTCACTCCCAGACCCCATGGGCTCCCGTCGTTGTCCAAGCATTCCATGTGTCAGCGGCTATGATGTCCACGTCGAAGCCCAGTCCGACTCTAGCCGTGCTGACCCACACCGAGTTCAGAATCGTGTCCGAAACGTAGAAGTCATGTGGCTGAATGCATGGTAAGTCACGCCGAATGTCGTAGCCACTACACCAGACTCACCAATCCTATGTGCGCCACAGACTCTTTGCCGAATTCCGGGGAGACGCAAGACGCGTCCCATAGCGTGGTCCACTCCATCGGAGTGTCAGGCCTCTCAGACCCTGGCGTACTGGACTGTGGCACATGGGCGGTAAGATTAATTGACCATTGGCGCCACACCACAAGACTCACCTCTGCGGAGTATGCCACAGAGTGTTTGTCAGATCTCGGGGAGGCACATTGCGCGCCCCATGGGGACGTCCACGGAGCAGGGGTGAGTGGGCCCACAGAATCGGGTGTGTCACAATGTGGCGTGATGGTGGCACCGTCGAGAGTGACGGCTGACAACTCGGCTGCGAGCTCGATGTAGTCGCTGTCATCGTCGTGCTACACATGGTGAAGGTCAGCACCGGAAGCATTCTATGGTTGACGTCCACCGTAACTGACCATGTGTACATCGTCTGTGGCGACAGTGATGGTCTGAGTGGCTAAATCAATGGACCATTGGTGGTCGAGGATGGTAGCGAAATTGGTGCGCGACATGCGAGGGCTTGGCTGTGCGATGGGTATTGTGTTCTGTGATTCCTCATTCTTCACATTTGACTCGTGTTTCACAGCCTTGCGGATTGTAGCGGGGTCTCTCTTTTTCCAACGGAGAACCATTTTACCTATTTGAGCCGAGACAGAGGCAAGTATGTATGTGATAGAGGGCCTAACGTGCTTTTACGCAGGTGACAGCGAGTGTGCGATGATGTGGTTGGGGCACAACGAGGGACGGGTGGAGCAAAGCGCGGGTGAGTGAATTAGATACATGGGCGCCTATGGATCTGTGGCCGTTTCGTGACCCGTGCCGATTACCGTTTATTGTGCCGACTTCCAAATCCCGGAGACTCGTGACGCTATTTTGTTGCTTAATTTGCTTGTTCAAGCTTACATTATGAATCCAAAGAGCCCATTGAGCTGTGAAATACAGCTCCGTCTACTCTCCCGAAATCACTCTCGAGGTCCGTTGTCTGGGTCTGTCTCCCCCCTTCATCGTTATCGTCTGTAATTGTCACTAGACGTTAGGATTGTGCCACACGCTTGTTGTCACGTTCACATTGATGATTGGAGTTGTTAGATTTGGCTCTCGATTGCGAGGCTGGAGATCTTCGTCGATGATGCACTTGAGGATAGCACCACGCTCCACATCGGGATACACCCTGCACAAAGGCTAATGACGATATAGATGAGGACATGTAGCAGGCATCTCGAGGTATGCTAGTACGACTCGACATATGATTAGGACAGGGAGGATATGCAACGTAAGTTTAATGCCTCTTTCCTGCGAGGCTGCCTATCAACTTCTTGATGTATCCGAAAGATAGAGTAACATGCCGATGGTCTGTCGAACTCACTTCGACCGTATCCTATCCCTGTGTTGTATATGGCGGTGAAAAATGAATTTATTACGGCAGCTATAGCATGCTGCGGCTGTCTCCTCGCCGACGAAGAATGTGAGGCAGGTGTTTGTGCCTTGCATGATCGGTACCCTACCGCCTTCTTCATGTTACGCTTCAGTGGCACAGTGAGACCTCTGCATTTACCCCAGACGTGGTACAAACAGTCTCCCGAGTTTCCCGAGTGGTAGTTACAGACATCGATGGTCTGCGGTTACATGTCCGTATATGCAGGTAACAACACCGTGTCTCGATAAAAGTGCTCCTAACATGGAAAATTAACTCGTGCGTACGCAAGTAGGAAATTATGTGGACTCGGTGTAGGAGCAAGCGCAGGCGCTTTCGTTGCACACGGCACCTCGTGCCCCCAATATCTCCTGTCGGTGACGAACGGCGAGTTGCTGTGCATTAAGGCTTAGCGCTCTGGTGCACGTTCGAGCCCCGTCTCCGCACACAAAGTGCTAAAGTAGAGTCCGGACTGCCCGTCATACGTACTACAGCCTCCGTGCTCATCCACGCGACTAGTGAACATATGCCATCCCCTACCAACTTGTTAGCGCGTCGGGAAGAACGGTATCCTCGTGATCCCGAACCCACTACGAGCTATGATTGACGAACTGCTCCCCGAAAGGGGCGTGGGGCGCTAGGGGTCTTGCTACATGTTTAATTACTTCTATCTCGGACACCGTGCCCTCACGAGCTAGTATCAGGCAATTCGCAAATCAAAAGACGATAGAAAATTTCACAAAGCAGCAGTAAGGATAATGGAGCTATGCAATTTGTTTGCTGCTATTGGTATCAAGGCTATATGGCTTGAGCATGTGCGACCGCCATGTCAACTTTAATGCAAGCCCCAGTGCGTGTTCCTAATATGCCTAGCCAAAGCGTGTGCCGGAATCAGGCGGGAGCATCCAACCCACTGGCACTTGACATCGCCAGTGCTGGCGGTATTGATGCCGTGATATCGGAGGTGAGTGTTGACACTGTTGACGTCAGTTGTGACGACGGTGAAGCAGCTTGACCATTTGCAGTAGTCAGACATGATGACTTTTCGAGCTAGAGGACTCCGTCAAAAGATGGACACAGATAATACGTAAGCACCGCGACTCACGTTAGGAGATAATGAATGAGAGAAATACGAATCTGATTTTTGTCTGAAGAAGGAGGCGGCTGCTATGCTGTAGTGAAAGGGAATATGAAACAACTCAAACATCTGTGAAGGTACCGCCATACCTATCAAGGAAGATCGAGCACCGCGAGGATTTGAAGACTGGGGCTTGAAAGGACGTGGGCCGTTCTATAAGTAGCGGGGACAAGATGCATTTGCTTTCTAGCTACACAGAATATCTTGCTAGCCGTAGGCCTCCGCTCAAGCTCGTGCTGCGGTAGAAAGAAAATACACTATACACGCAGATCATTCTGAGGTGGTGAAGCAGTAAAATAGACTGACCAGAATGCGCACCCGGCAATGCGTCGACGGCTGCCGGTCCGACCCCTGGTCGGAGCTGCGATAATCAATATAGCAGCGTAGAGGAGATGAGGTGGATATGCGACAGAGAGCGGGATGCATCTTGGATTTGCAATCAAGTTGGGGTGCCCTTGTTGAACATTTGATGAGCAACGCTAACAGACAAGATGTGTATAAGGATTAGAAAAGGATTAGAAGTTGGCTTCTGGCAATCACAGCTACGGTAAATTCTGTAAGTCCACAGATACCAGCAGAGCAGACAAGCGCATGAATAGTAAGAACCCTATAGCAGGTTCAATGAACAACGAGGCTGGTAAATGCACTGCTCCTAGCTAACCACGCGTGGTGAGAATAGAGTCGCACAAACTACAACTCTATCCATATATCGAGCAACTTATAATCCTTTCATAAACGTGTTCCAGAGAGCAGAATACGCCAGCATGAAGACATGCATTTGGGAAATATCTAGCTAGGTCGGGTATCAGACGCAAGATAGCGCCACTGTGGCTGCCTCAAACTCCGACTTGTAACAAGGTATCACTCACTTGAAACTCCAGAGATGTCGGCATGGCACAATGCTTGCACGCAAACATGCCAGGGATATATTAATATTTTGATTATACCAACATGCATCCTCTGCCTTGCACAATCCGCCGTGGTCGCCGGGAGAGACCAGATATGTGGGATGGATGCGGTGGATATGCCCTACACAGTGGACGCATTATTTCATCTTCATGTCAAGCGGCCAGGGACAGCATCAGAGTGGCGTGTGGCGAGCCCATCTAGGCAGACGAGTAACGAACCTACACGCAGACGCGGCCATGACACTGGATACGCAGCCCAGTTGTGATGTCAGATTTCTAATGATCCACATAACAGTAAATCTACCTGCAAGAACATACATACAGGCTGACCTGAAGCAATGAACTCCTACCTCGCAATAATACATCACCGGGCTCCATGGGGCAAATGCAAAAGGAGGTCGATGGAATAGCCAGTTATTTTGAGGGCTATTCAGAGCGCACGATTTCAACGCTACGGTTTGTCCAAGAAAGCGTACGTAAATAGTAGGAAATTCAAATCAACGAGATATGCAATAGTTCGGGTGGACAGAATGGGGCGGACCATGAGCGAAATACCTAATTTGGCTATCGCAGCGGGGCCATAAATCTTCCCACGCCATTCCCGCTGTTCCTGTTCACTGACTTGCTAGCCGTCTTACTGTTGTTCACCACTTCTTACTAGCGTCTGTACTCCTCCCCCAATTGCGTACTCACAAGATGGCGATGGTACACCCGTCACGTATGGCACTTGTGCCACAAGATCCCAAAGTCTCATTTACTGCGCCCAAGAATAACCGCGGCCGATCACCTTCCCCGCTGGACTATCGACGTCGCTCGCCGTCCCGTGAGCGGGATAGATATCGTGAAGGCGACTCAAAGAAGGACAGGGACCTGGGGAGAGACCGGCACAGGGACGACGAACGTGATCGTCACAGTCGCAGCTCCAGGAGGGATCGTGAACGTGCTCGCGCAGACGACTACTTCGACGACGCAAGTAGCAGCGACGAGCGGATCCCAAAGCCTAGTCGTAGCAAGAGCATGGATAGGGCTAGAGACCGCGAGAGTGACGAGCGGCGGGAGCGGGACAAGCCTCGTCGGGCAAGTCCCGAGTACAACGAATACCGACGACCATCTCCGCCGAGAGAGCGCGATGGGCCGGTTCCTGCGCAGGCACCGTGGCGTCATCAAGACAACATGTACCCCCGAGGCAGAGACAATGGTACGAACGGAGCATATGGAGGAGGTGCGGACTTCATGGAGAGGTACGTCTCTCAGCCTGTGTCATTGATCCACTAGTTTTTTTACATTTGCTAAACGCAGTCGACGACTACAACGAGAAAGCATGACCGTCAACGTATGGCCTCCGTCACCAAAGGAGCCAGCTCGCGAGTTGTTCGTTTTCTCTTCGTGCTTGATGCTAGCTGGTGGTTCTTACATCATATACAGGTCACCCCACACAGAATCGAAGCGCCACAAAAAGTCTCACAAGCGCCGCCACGATTCGGATGACTCGGACACTGATTCAGAAGAGGAACGCCGTCGCCGGCGTAAGGAGCGGAAGAAGGCACGCAGAGAAAAGGAGAAGGATCGAGACCGGCCGAGGGATCGTGAGAGGCGTAGGCCCCGGTCCCGGTCACGGCGGTACAGCGATGGGGAAGACTCGGAGGAAGAGCGGGAGAAACGGACACGGACGAGTCGCAGCAAGAGCAAGGGCCTCGACAGACATCGCAGCCGGGATATACATCGAAGCAGTACGCGTACGAAGAGCCCTGAACGACGGCCTCCCAGTACGCCTCCGGACGCAGATGATGATGAGTGGGTTGAGAAGCCGACGACGTCAGGCGTTCTTGCCGTTTCATCTGCAACCTTAGCCACGAGCAGTGCCAGTCCACACAAACCATCAACGTCCACTATGCCACCCCCTTCTAGCAAGTTCGCGACGCAACTGCAGGCAGGTGACGAAGACGACTCCTCAGACGACGACGAAGTCGGGCCCAAGCCCGTCACCTCCACGAGCAAGTCTTCGCGGAAGGTTGACGAGCGTCAATATGGCGGTGCACTGCTGCGCGGAGAAGGTAGTGCCATGGCGGCGTTCCTCAGGGACGGCACGGACGTACGTATCCCGCGCCGTGGTGAAATCGGTCTAGCTTCGGACGAAATTGCATCGTATGAATCCGTTGGGTACGTCATGAGCGGCAGTCGGCACAGACGCATGAACGCAGTGCGAATGCGGAAGGAGAACCAGGTCATCAGTGCGGAGGAGAAGCGAGGAATCCTCAAGCTGCAGCAGGAGGAACGGGAGCGCCGGGAGGCCATTTTACGCGAGGAGTTTCAGCAGCTTGTGACCGAGAAGCTCAAATCGCAAGGCGCGAAGTAATCCCCTTCTTTACATGTTGCGCCGCTCTATGTGAAGGTTACATTCTCCCGGACAGATGCTTTGCTGTTGTAATATTCCATTAAATACACATAGCGCAAGTTATAGGCACTGAACATGGTTCTCAAATGGGATTTAGGAGACCATTCTACAGCTCCTCACGCGGACCCTTAGCATCCAGACTCATAAGCTCAACATCGAATACGAGCGCAGAGTTCGCGGGGATGACAGAGCCGAAGCCGCGCGAGCCTGTGATATGCAATCAAGTTGCAGTTTTGGATTCATCACGAACAATGTCAAGCACTTACCGTATGCCATGTCCGAGGGGATGGTAAGAGTACGCTTCTCGTTTAGGCACATCCCCTTAAGGCCCTCCTCCCAGCCCTTGATCACCTGGCCCCTGCCGACTGGCAGACTGTCAGTCGGGTATACATGCAGTAACGTCAGGAACACTTACGCGTCACAGGAAGAGGCTTTCCACGGTCGAGACTGGGTTGTGCATTAAGAACGCGTGTCAAGCATGAAAGACTGCTTGAGCTCACCTGGAATCGAACTTGTTGCCATTCGAAAAGAGCCTTCCGGTCTATCACACACTCATGTTATATCATCCAGGTCACGAAGAGGCTTGTCCCGTTGCTCACATAGTGCACCTGCAACACGTCCCCGTTCTGCGCCTTGTTGGAGCAATCCGCAGGTGTGTACGTGGACTCGATCTGCAGCTCCTTAGGGGCCTCTGGCGTCTCTGCCACTGCAGCGAGTGCAAAGAGCAGGATAATCAAATAACTGACAAAACCAAGTCTCATGTCGGGCAATCTGGGAGTGGAGTGGACTTGTCCTTGTTCGCCTGTTGCGTTGGCGAACTAGAGTAATGATCGAGCGGGGAGCGCCCATGCGTATAGCACCCGCGGGAACAATATTCCGGAAGTGCGCTCTCCGTGACTCCTGCCTTTCTTGGTGCTTAGTCAGAACTATACAGGGCGCGATCTGTAGAACTTTATTTTCTCCCTCCTTCCACCGACCGACAAGCCGACCCCGACATCAAGATGGTATGTCTGCACGCGTTCTGCCGCTGAGAGGGCTAGGTCGTTGATACTCGTTGCATCGTCCGCTATAGCCTTCCCAAAAGACTTTCAGGACGAAGCGCATCCTCGCGAAGGCCGCCCGCCAGAACCGGTGAGTTTGGCCCATTTGCACCCTTGTAGGGTCATCCTGACGCTCCTTGTGAAGGCCCATTCCTCAATGGTTCCGCTTGAAGTCGGACACGAAGATCCAGGTTTGTGCTCTCCTGTTGTCGGCGTACACGAGACCCTAATTCCGTGTCTGCAGTACAACGCGAAGCGCCGTCACTGGAGACGCACGAAGCTTAACATCTAAGCTCTCTTCTGCGCTTCATTCTCTATACTTGACTTCCCGTGGGACGGGGAGCAGGAAGGTTCTTCCTACGGTCCTCCATCACGCACCAGCAATACGCACCATGTATTCCCTCCATATCGGCCTATGATTGCCTTGCTAAAATATTTGCATGCGCCATGAAGAACCTCACTTTATGGTGATCTCTGAGTGATATGAATGAGTCTATTCTGGATGGAGCGAAACATCGACTGAGTGTTCCCGGGATCAGTATGTGTATGGAGACTTTCTTTGCGGTTGCATTGACCATGACTCATGAGCGCTGTCGTACGCATCGTGAGTTATCCTTGTCATGGGAAGTGTATCCAGTTGCACCCGCTATACGACCTCCCCTCACTTAAAAAGGGTGTTTTTTTTAGCCTGCCTAGTGGGGACTGCGTCCGCTGCATATATACATCTTAGTCCTCCGTCATTGAACGTATGATTCGCCAACAATATTCAATCAATGAGGAGGAAGAGGCTATTGGCTTCTGATCCTAACAAAGCCAAACACCCTTCATCCACGCGCTTGTGGCGTGGCGTTGCACGCGTTTGACTCGTCAATCATTGTAGGCTTGACCAGCACTATTGTACGACACTGTAATAAGAACCTGCGTTGCCGGCATGTCTCTAATTCTGACCTTATTCTTGCTGGTGTTCGTGAATGAGCTTGTCGCTTGGATCGGCAAGTCAGTCTTGCTTGAGTTCGTGAGTAACCTGCCTGCCAGCAAAGCATCGCTTTGAGGCTTATCTCTGTTGGATGTACGGTCTCTGCGTAGGCTTATGCGTTGTACCTGTGGATATTCTACTCTGGCCTGGTCGCGCAACAGCGAAAGCTCAAATCGGATATCCTGCTTGGGAAGAAGGAGCTGCTACAGACGAGTGCGCAAGATCAATTCGCGAAGTGGGCGAAGCTGCGGAGGAGCGTGGACAAAGGATTGGCGGATCTAGAAAAACTCAGTGAGTTTGCATCCTCCCTTGTACTTGTGGGCATCGAAAGCATGCAGACGCCTACTCCAAGCGAATTTCTGTCATAGAGTGTCCCCGTACTACTCTCTCACGACGAGTCGCAAAATGCGGGACTGGACGTCATGCATTATGAGAGTGCCTATCCTGTGATTCTCCGGGGACGGAAGCGGCAGTCCTATGAATATCACGCTCTGCTGGCAAGCATCTCACAACTCATCTCTACTATTCTTTCAGATGGCGAGCTATCCTCAGCAAGAACTTCGTTTTCCCTCAAATTCAACTCCGCGATATGGTTCCTCACCGCGGGTGTACAGCTGATCGTAGGATGGTGGTACCGCAAGTCCGCGGTCTTCTACCTGCCGCCAGGGTGGTTCGGGCCCCTCACATGGTGGCTGTCGCTTCCCTTTGCCCCTGCAGGATCCGTGAGTTGTGGGATATGGCAGATGGCGTGCAAGAGGGTTATCAAAGTAGGAGAGCGCATGGTGCGGGAACTTGCCTCAGGTGAGGGTACGCGCTCCTTTTCGGCGACCCGCTAATGATCATCGCTGCTCCGTGTCCTCGCCTCCGGCTACGCAGCAGAGTCGCAACCGGTAGCGACGGAGCCCAAGAAGAAGGACTAGATGCCCAGCCCGCGATAGGGAAGTCTGGAACTGTACTCTGGATGTATCTCGCTTGGAGCCTGCATGCATGTTTATCCAGATGGTGCTGTTGAATCTTGTGATGAGTGCCGGAAGGCGTCGTGGGACAAGCTCGGCCCCGCGGTGGCATTCATTTGGTCCCTTATGCGGGGTAATAGACGCGCCCGTAGACTCGGGGTTCGTTCGCTGATCAGGAATCCGAGAGCCCGAAGGCGATCTCCGGCCTTCCGCGAGGTCTGCAGGCTTCGGACGCGGAAGGGTGAGTGCCGTCATTTGATTCGTATAGCCATGTTTGCTGCGGGTGCCCGGGGACATTTCCAGCCGAGCGCTGCAGCGCGCAGAAACAGCGACGGAAGGGCGCGCGGCAGCTGCAGGCGGGACTCCGGCGACGCTGGCACGGAGGTCCCACGGTGGCCCGGGGTCCATGCGCGCACGTGAATTTGATCGCGGAAGGCATGACGTCTCTCCGCCCATGGGATACGGAGTGCCGGCCTGCCTACTTATACGCTCGGCGTGGTTATGCAACCCAAGCAACCCGCCACATCCCTCCTATTACCACCGTACCACACTCACAGCCCCCCATGGTCGCCGGCGTACAGATCCACTCTCAGCACGCCCAGCAGGCGCAGACCGAGATCCTCACTGAGGACGCACTGACGTTCCTCGCCGCGCTGCACAGAACATTCGAGTCTACGCGCCAGAGTCTCCTCGTCGCCCGCGAGGCCGCTCAACAGCGTCTCGACGCTGGGCAACCCCTTGACTTCCCTTCCGAGACCGCGCACATTCGCGCCGACCCGTCATGGCTTTGCGCTGTACCTGCACCTGGTCTCGAGGACAGGAGAGTAGAGATTACAGGCCCAACCGACAGGAAGATGGTCATCAACGCCTTGAACAGCGGCGCGAAGACGTTCATGGCAGATTTCGAGGGTGCGTTTGCCGCCTTACATGCAGGGATGTGAACGGCTGACACGCCTACTTATAGATGCGAACTGTCCCACGTTTGCCAACATGCTCAATGGTCAGGTCAACCTGCGCGATGCTATCAGACGCAAGATCGACTTCGAATCCAATGGGAAGGCTTACAAACTGGTGGAGAAACCTGCTGTCCTCATCGTCAGGTCCGCGTCTCGTGATTCAGTGTCAGCTGGCGGAAGTTAATCTTGCCCGTTCACAGACCGCGCGGATGGCACCTGGACGAACCTCGGGTGACCGTCGACAACGCACCTATGTCAGGCTCGCTCTTCGATTTCGGCCTGTACTTCTTCCACAATGCAAAAGAGCTCGTCGCGCGTGGCTCCGGGCCGTACTACTACCTTCCGAAGATGGAGCATTACCTCGAGGCAAGGCTCTGGAACGACGTCTTCAACTTCTCGCAGGCATACATTAGTATGCCGCTCGGTACCATTCGTGGGACAGTCCTCATCGAGACGCTACCGGCGGCCTTCCAGATGGATGAGATCTTGTTCGAGTTGAGGACGCATTCATCCGGCCTGAACTGCGGACGGTAAGCCCTTCTCTCCCCTGAGATTTGCGAATCAGACTTGAACTTCCCTTGTTCGTAGGTGGGATTACATCTTTAGCTTTATCAAAAAGCGTCGCGCAGACAGGAGTGCTGTGCTCCCTGACCGAAAGGATGTCACCATGGAGGTTCACTTCATGGATTCCTACGTGCGCTTGCTCATTCAAACGTGCCATAGGTGAGCATTTGTTCCGTGACTCTGGGTGCATCTGAGCTAATTCGTGGCCCCCATAGGCGCCGTGTTGCTGCAATGGGCGGTATGTCTGCGCAGATCCCGATCAAGAACGACCCCAAAGCAAACGAGGCTGCCATGTCGAAAGTGCGCGCGGACAAACTGCGCGAGGTCACCGCCGGCCACGACGGTACATGGATTGCGCACCCTCTGATCAACCAAATTGCAACGGAGATCTTCAACAAGCACATGCTTGGACCCAACCAGGTCAGTGGCATTCAGAGCGCCTGCCAGACGTTTCGCTGACGCTCCGAGTTCAGTACCACATCCGTCGCGAAGATGTGAAGGTCGCAGCAGCTGACCTCGCCAGCACCAAGGTCCCAGGCCAGATCACCACGGACGGCGTGCACTCGAACGTGGCGACCTCGCTCGCATACAGCGCAGCATGGCTCGGCGGCAATGGCTGCATCCCGCTCAACTACCTCATGGAAGATGCCGCAACTGCAGAGATCACGCGCGTGCAGCTCTGGCAGTGGGTCAAGTACGGCGTGCGCATATCAGACACCGGCAGCGTCATCACCGCGGACTACATCGACGGCGTGATCGACGAGATCGCACCGACGCTCAAGGGCCCGGCGGCGACGGAAAAGAACCTCGACATCGTCGCGAAGTACCTGAAGAGCCAGGTGCGCAAGGAGTGGCCGAGCGAGTTCCTGACGAGCGACTTGATGGGCTACCTGGCTGTCGCGGATGGCTGTCCCGCTCAGTGGCAGCGCAGTGTCCTGTAAAGTGTTGGCCCCCGCACGCGAGCTTCCTTTCCTCCTACTGTCATTGTCCGCATATCCGCGTAATTGTAAGGTATTGTCTTCATGTGTAGCTGTATTTGTATCGGCAATCGGAATATAATCATCACGATCCACGTCTGTATGCTGAAAGGAAGGGAATGAGTATTGGAGTCCTTCAAGCTGTAGGTGTGACAAGCACAGTAGTACGTCAAAATCAGGTCCTTGCAGTTCCCGGTGTTCATGGAGTTGTCAGCGTCCGGATATGCACGTACGCCGTAAGGGCACGCAATCGCACACACAATGATTTTCGTAGGTATTCAGCGTAACAGCCGCTGTATTTAACCTGCAGACAGTTTCGTCGTTGACAACAATATTCCCAAACGCCGCACGGCTCCCGTGGTGGCACCTATCATCCGCTCACCTGGTCAGAATCTTTCAGCCTAAGGGGTTCTAATATGAAAAGGCTGCAGGAGTGAACTTGCTGTTATGGTTGACATACGGTGTACATGTCTTTCATCGACCTGTGACGAACATGAAGTTGGGCTGTTCGATAACCGCACCACATAGTATACCTTTGACACCTCGGTTCCGAACGAGCTGGAAGACGAGTCACCTCTGCTTGTATAAGTGCATATATGACATTATGAAGGGTAACTAATATGCAACATCTACGCAGGTACTTTGCCGACTAGCATACTGCGCAGAGCACTAATCATATGACAAGCCGGTGATAGCCTGAGTCCATGGTGAAGAATAAGGTCCATCCTGCAGCGCAAGTGTATTCATAGTGACAATCAACCATAATACGAAATCAGCTCCACGCGAACCGGGGAGCACGTGTCGTAGATGTAGTCGGTGTTGTTTGCCACAGGAGAATATACCACATTGACCTGACCCTCGACCCAGTTCGACGTGGCATTGCACAGCGAAAAGCTGTTGGTATCGCCGTTGACCGCGAGTGCGACAACATCGTCGACCAACTGCGTCCAATCAAGTGATCAGTCTACTTGACAGAGCGCAAGTTCCAAGAGACAGTATACTCACAGCCGCGCAGAAGCTCCCAGCGCCCACCGAAGTCAGCGTGAAGATGTCCTCCTGAGCCGTAGTGTCGACGAAGATCACCTCCTGACCCGCGTTAGCCCCATTACTGTACGCGTAGAGACCCTGCTCCTGGGGCCCAGGCTGCGGGTAAACTGAGCCATTCTGCATGCTGCTGAACGGCCATTGGTTTTGTCCCCACGAGGCCTCCGTCTACCCCCGCACCGCATTAGTTATGTCGTGCTTTTTATGTAAGTCACACAACTCACAGTAAGCGCAAGGAGGCCTGCAGCCGGGCTGCTGCCGCCCTCGGGTCCGTAGCCGAACACGAGAAGCTCTCCAGTGTCGTTCGCGCTCGCGCCCACGGGGACGGCATGAAGTGTGAAGTTGTATCCCGGTGTGTCAGTAGAGCCCGAGGCGAAACCCGCGCAAGGGTTGTTCTGACGCGCTTCAAAGAGTGTCGGGATCGCGAGCACAGATGCCGCGAGCGCGAAGGCAATGAAGGCGGAGGCGAGCATACTGATGAGGTTGCGGTGTTGGAGGAGATGGGCCACAGATTTTATGTATGAGTAATGAGAGGATGCGAATGGATGTTATGCAGGAGAGAGCCGTACTTATAGCTCTGCAAGCAGGCAGCATGTCTGTCCAGCACAGCTTGGCACGGCGTGCGAGCCCGATGCCGCAGCTGACATAATTGAGCGAGGCCGTTGCCATCATACGAATCGTCAAGCGCAGTGTCTTCGCAAGACCAATTCGATGTTACGTGTCAAAACGTCGGCGAATGGACGCCATAGTTCTGTGATTATGGGAAGTGTGACGGCCGCTATGAGACCGGATGCAGAATCAGTGAGACCGTATTACGACGTGTGAAACTCAATCTGTGCGTGGATGAGTAGGCGGATTATGAGGAATCAGTTAGCAATAAACTTACACAGATATGTGTGTGGAGATTAGTGTCCTTATATCCCAAGAAGATCATTCGCACGATCTTGAACAACGCTCTCTATATTGATGGAGAGTGTGAATAGAGCAGCTGGGTTGTCTGAAAAATTCTGCATTCTCAATAAATATACCAAAGCAGATACGGCATGTCCGACGTTTCATGATATCCGCCATCCAGGCCGTTAGTCCTATCTTTGTGGACTTCCAATAGTGTTGTATCGAATGAAGGTCTGACGCGCCAGCGATTTCTTGACCAAGACAGCAAATTTGGTGTTACCACTTGTCGTGGTATTGGCAGTGGCGGTAAGGAATTACATTGCGCGCATCTGCCATCAGATGTATGAATTGACATGCGCAAATGCCGCGGCATGTATGCCGGCGTTTTTACGTTCCTTCTAACACCTTGGTTGGATCGCTGCACGACTGAAACGCAAAAAGAAAATAGGACAGAATTCGAGCTTCCTGCGGTAAGGATGTGTTTCTTGCATGTTCCCGGTCGTTTGAGCTAAGAGTTCATGGCGAAGGCGCCGACGCGTGGCTTAGGCCACGTGGATTCCCATCAACTTTGCGTCGGTATATTCCTAATCTAGCCATCGCAATAAGTCCCGGCTTCGCAGTCTGCTGCGTCTTTGAAGCGCTCTCACAAGTCTTGATCTCGGTCTTTCCTCAACTTATTATCCGTACTCAAAATCAGCGCGGACATATCTGCGTAGAAAATTGTGATCAGACATGTCATCCAAGAGACATGTGAAACGCGTCACGCTGACGTCGAAGAAGAATTGGTGGATGGGTATTTGTATACTATGTACAGACATTAAACATGACTGCTTATGTTACTTATTAGTGGAGCTGGATGAAGAAGAGCGAGCCGAACTTGCTCTTAACTCATTTATGGAGGAGACCGCCGGTAACGAGGGGCCACAAACGCCATTCCGGTCAAGTGGCTACATAAGTCGAGTACATGAGCCGACGCCCGCACCATCAATACCTGAGTATGCCCCACCTAACCATCCTCTCTCCATATTTTCCTTTCCCACCCCTACAACCTACTCAGCGCCTCCTAATCCCACCCAAAATCTGGCACCTTGCGCTTCAGGCTCTGCCTCCGAGCTGTTCAAGTGTATTGTCAAGAAGCCCAACGTCGTGCAGCTTGAGATAAACGGCGAGATGCAGTCCAACGCAAACGACGTGATGACACAGTTTCGCGCAGAATTGCGCGTATATACCACAGTGACTCGTCACAGGAACATTGCCGCATTTCTCGGCTGCCTCGAAAACGTCGGGATGGTGCTCGAGTTCATCGAGGGTCGCACACTCTGGGATATAGTCCGAGAGCGACCTGAACTGACCCAGGGCAAGAAACTCGACTTTCATAATCAGCTATTGGACGGGCTCACGCACTTACACTCATTCGGTCTAAGCCATGGCGATCTTTCCCTTCTGAATGTGCAGGTGACATACTCATCTGACACGATCAAATTGCTTGATTTCGGCCGGTCGGTATGCGCAGATTCCGTCTACGCGTCGCCTTTCGAGGATATCTCGCAGCCACCTGCACCTCCCATACCGGTGAGACCTCCTCCCAACTCACGATTCACGCCAAAATCGCCTTATACCCCTGCCACTCCCGTACTTCCACCTGTACCACCGCGGCAAACCGAGCAAATACACCCAGGGACGCGGCCATTTGCTGCCCCAGAGGTGTTGCGGGGGGAGTGCCAGGACGCCCGTCTCGCTGACGCGTATAGCTTCGGCATGATCCTGGTTTGCCTGGATCGATGCGATCTCGTTGATGTAAAGCCTTGGGTACAGCGCAAAGATGCTCTTCCCAACGGCTTTCTGGATGGTCTTCTTGTGTTTCGGGAGAGATGTGAATGGTATTTACGGAAATGGGACGATGGTCGACGTCGGTTGGCAAAAGACGACATGATGGATGTCGACGCACGTATGGCGCTCTGAAGTCCCTTGCTCGGTGGGTCATGATCAGGCATGCAGATACACCAACAATCTATTTACGAGTTGTTGAACAGTTTTCACGATGGAGACGTGACTGTCCTCCGTTCACGGGTTTTTCATGCTGTCATCTGTGCTGCATCATACAGCCTGTTTGCCCTCGCGCCATTAGGACTGGAACTCTGAAGGGAGAAGTAGAACTATTTTGTGCTCCAAATGACCTCGGTAATCTGTTGAACCAAAGTGCGCGCTGATCCATGGTTTCCCGGAATACCAATATCATTTCGCAGCAGTCTAGTATGAATGGCCGCCAGTAGGTCTCTCAAGCCGGTCGTAAGTTCTCGGAATGTGCCTAGCGAAGTCATGCACGCCCACGACAACGATCTGTCGGAAGTATTTTCGACATCCGGTATAAGAAATTGCAGAAGGGATTGGATATAATCACAGCAGATAAGCTGAAAAGACAAGGCATATGGATAAGCTTCCCTTACATGTGTTCGTTCTTTGTTCAATTGCTGGTTGTCAATAATATCGTGCGTCGCTGACTCTTCACCATAACGAAGACTCTGAATGGGATTCTCCCGGAATTGCCACGAATATAGCAAAGGATCCACCGTGTTTTTGGGCCTGTATGGTATAAAAAATAGGGGCTTGGCAGCGGCCAAGGAAGGACATTGCTGATCGTGCCGTGGTTCAGATAACACCTGATGCACATATGTTATTCACACTAATTCGTCTGCCGCATCCATTAAGCACGGTTGCGCATCAAACCAGAGAATGGCGATTCTGAGGGGAAGGTAACTGACCATGATTGAAAGTGACTTCAAAACCTTGTGGCCAAAAGACCATGCGTGATGAGGGTACTATTATCACTTGTCGAATTTTAGGATAACAAGCAGTACATTCTGAGGAAATGTTGGAGATACTTGCACAGGGAAAAGGCTCGCGCAGCTGTGCCGAACAGGGTAAAGATGTGAGAAAGCAGGCAGAGAGAGAGAGAGAGAGAGAGAGAGAGAGAGAGAGAGAGAGAGAGAGAGA